AGAGGTTGCTTCACAAGTCAGCATGCAAGGAGAGACAATGGGGGTGATACAAGAAGTCACTCACGAGCGCAGCAAATACCCAAACCACTACGGTAAGCCAAAAGGGGGAAATAAAGGACAATGTGGACAGTGTGGAAAAGCGTGTCACAGTAAAGATGAAAATTGCCCGGCCAGAAAATCCTCATGCAATACATGCAGCAAAGTAGGACATTGGAGTAGAGTGTGTAGGAGCAGGAAGGCAGTGAGTGAGGTTACAGAGCAAATAGAGTAACAGCAGTCATACTTTCTTGGGGCTGTGAGTAAAGCAGGCGGGTCACCAGAGCAATGGGCCGTCGAGTTGCTGGTGGGCTCTACACCAGTTGACTTCAAAATCGACACAGGGGCCGATGTTAACATCATCCGCGAGGAAGCCTACCACTCACTCATCCCCAAAAGACCACTGGAGCCTGCCCAGGCGGCGAGCTGCAGTGCATAGGATAGATCCAGAGCACTGTGACCTACAAAGGAAAGACTCACCCATTCACAGCATATGTCATCCGCGGACAAACTGCAAACAACCTACTCAGCGGGCCGTTGTCAGTGGAAATTAATCTGGTGAGGAGAGTGGATGAAACGGTGTGCAACAGAGGATATCCACAGGCATATGGCGAGCAAGGGATATTAAAGACTGAACCGGTGAGAATACTGCTGAAAGACAACGTACAGCCATATGCTGTATACACAGCACGACGCATACCTCTCCCTATGCTGCAAAAGGTAAAGGAGGAGCTTCAGAGGATGAAGGGAAATGGCATCATCAAGAGGGTGACACAGCCCACGGACTGGTGTGCACCCATGGTGCCAGTCTTGAAGAAGAGCACAGGTAAAGCCCACATCTGTGTTGATCTCAAGAGGCTGAACGAGGCTGTGAAAAGAGAACAGTATATCCTGCCTACTACTATATGAGATTACAGCAAAGCTGAGCAGGGCCACTGTCATGGAGCCAAGCCCTTACCTGCCCTGCGACCAGGAGATGTTGTATTGTCCAAGTTGGTCCATGAAAAGTCATGGTCTTTGCCAGCGGTGATCTCAAGCGAGAGCACCACCCCGACATCCTTCGTCATCAGGACGCAGCATGGAGCAGAGCTGCGGCGGAACCGCCGTCACCTCCAACCAGTGCCGGTTCCCCAGCCCATCCCAGCAGCGCACGGGAAGATCACAGGGACAGACACACACTCTGACGGAGCCACCATTTTAGAGACTGTTCCTGTCAGAGTGTTGGGGGGGGGGGGGGGAGAAAAAGAAAAGTTGTGCTGACATTGATGTGATAATGTTTATTTGTTGGTTGATGGGAAAGAGACCAGTGCATGTTGAAATGTCTCCATTTGAGTTAATCTTGGTTTATGCTGTGCTGTCTGAATAGCCATTTTCAGTTAAAGTGTTCCTTTGATGTTATTGACACAACACTCAAAAGAGGGGGAGATGTCATATATGGTAGTCTAATGCGCTTGTGCATATACTCGGGGTTATACCGGATTTCCGGGAAATGCATGTAAAGGGAGACACACGGTGATCCATTAAAACCAGCTGAGCAAACTAAGAAGCCTCTATTGCATTGATTTACAGTCCAATTGATGCCCCATTTACTTTAGAAGAGTTGAAAAGAGCAATAGAAAGGAAGACTTACATCAAAAAGGAAGGATGAAATTTGTTATATAATGCTGAAACATTTAGGTAGTATAGCAATGATGACATTTAAATTTTTTTATAATAAGGTTTGGGAAGTGGGGAGACTAGTCCTTGGAAAGAAGCTGTGATTATCCCAATGAGGAAACCAGGCAAAGACTCATCAAACCCAAAAGATTATAGACCCATAGCATTAACATCCCATGTAGGTAAGATAATGGAAAGAATGATTACAGATAGATTAACATTTTATATGGAGTCCAGGGGAATGATAACACCTCGTCGAAGTGGATTTCAGAAAGGTAGAGGAACTATGGACCCAATTATTTGTTTTGAAACAGAAATCAAAAACGCCCAGGTGAATAAGGAGTTGGTGATGGCTGTGTTTTATGATGTGGAAAAGGCATATGATATGGTTTGGAGGGAAGGGTTGTTGATTAAATTAAATTAAATATGATAGGAAGTTGGCAGAACATATAATTGGATAAAGATTTTTTTAATTTACAGATTTATTAAAGTCAGATTTGGGACAGCACTATCTAGAAGATACCTGGTAGAGAATGGTACACCACATGGTAGTGTCATCACTCCGATACTGTTCTCCATCATGATAAATTATGTTTTCCTTCAAGTTCAGGGTGATACTGGACGATCCCTATTTGCTGATGATGGAGCACTGTGGAAGAAGGGGAAGAACATAAACTATATTAAAGGGAAAATACAAGAGGCTGTAAATGTGTTAGAAAGATGGTCTTATTCATGGTGATTCAAATTTTCTGTGGGAAAAACTAAAACAATCATGTTTACAAGAAAGAGAGGAGTTGATGCTCAGATAAAGATGTACGGACAAAAGATTGAAAAAGTGAAAGTTTTTAGGTTTCTTGGTGTGTGGTTCGATGATAAATTATCATGGAATGAACATATTCAGAGGATAGTTATGAAATGTAAAAAGATTTTAAATGTAATGAGGTGTCTAACAGGGTCAGAATGGGGAGCCAGCAAGTCTGCAATTAAAAATATTGCGCCACGGTATATATATACATATACAGTGGGTACGGAAAGTATTCAGACCCCTTTAAATTTTTCACTTTTTGTTTCATTGCAGCCATTTGCTAAAATCAAAAAAGTTCATTTTATTTCTCATTAATGTACACTCAGCACCCCATCTTGACAGAAAAAAACAGAAATGTAGAAATTTTTGCAAATTTATTAAAAAACAAAAACTGAAATATCTGTATATACACACATATATACACATATATACACGGCGGCGGGAGCAGCAAAAGGGTGGGGGGGACAGCTGGTGATGCAAACAGGAAGTCCTCTGTAGCGTAGGCCGTCTCATTTCGGAGGCCGCTCGGTCGAGCCTTCGCGGTCCTCAAAGGACACGGCCAACGTAGGGTACATCGCAAGTCTCTTCCTTGCATCCCCGTTTTCCTCACTTGCGTCCTTTCCTTGCGACTTAGGGTACATCCAAAGTCTCTTAATTGTCATTTCTTCGCTCCTCGATCCTCGCTTGAACTGGAAGTTGTTCTGCTCCGCCATATTGATGGCCGTCCCAAAGCTCTTATTTAGCTCGGAGGAGCGAGGAGAGAGGAGGGATCTCCGAGGAGCCATGAGCGAGGACGCACGAGAACAGCCTTCCTGTGATTAGATGCTGCAGCCGATCGGACTGATATGATTTTTTTCAACATGTAAACAGTGAAGACAGATCACAGATTAAACTCTAGTTTATATTTGATTAGTTTTCTGATTCACCGTCTGGTTTAAATAAATGTTCATTGTAGACTGAACAACAAAAGTGTGACGGTTCACGGTTTACCGTGTGGGTTTAAGAGTGGAGCAGAGACTCAGGCGCAGACTTAGACACAGGGCACAAGGTGAGGTGAAATGCAAGGTTCTTTACTGGGCACTTCAAAGCAGTCAAAAACAGCAACCAAAAACAACTCCAACCGGGAGAAAAATCCAAACTGAAAATAAAGAGCAAAGTCACAAAAGGCAAAGACACAAACCATGGGAGTCAGAGAGTCAACACGAGGGGTAACCACTGGAGATGAGACGAGTCCACGGGGAGGAAAAAAGAACAATTGAGAATCCGGCAACTGGAACAGGGGCAAGCAGGGGAGTATAAGTATGTGAGGGGTGATGAGCGGATTGCCGGCAGGTGAGTGGAGATGAGTGGGGTTTGCAGAGGGAAAAGCCAGGGGCAGGTGATTTGGCACAGGTGGAGAGAAGGAGCATGATCAGGAGAGACACACACACACACAGCAAAACCCAACCGTGACAAAAAGGACCACAAACAACTTTCTTCATTTATTAGAAAGATTTGTCTTCTCATGATGGATACAATTAAAGTCAGAGAAAGCTGGAGAGACAAAACACTATATATATCTATATCTATATATAGATATAGATTTAGATATAGAGATATAGATATAGAGAGAGAGAGCTGAGAGACGAAACACTTTATACATAATTTATCATTTCATTCAGTCTCGTGAGGCTGATCATTCCTGAGTGTCAGGTTTGATGAGTTATATCATTAAGAGAAACAATAATCATATTCTGGGTTAATTAATATTGACGTCACAATTTGAATTTCAAAACATACAAACGCAAATAATTCATAAATAAGACAAACACATTCCAGCGGTAGAAATCGATCTTGCGCTTATAAACAGAACACAGTTTGTTAACAGTATACAGAGAGACAACACCTCTACTCTGGCAGGTGTTGTCTCTCTGTAGTCTGTTAACAAACTGTGTCCTGTGTTGTTTATAAGCTCAGGATAGATTTCTACTGGCGGAATGTGATCGTCTTATTTGGTCAGGTAAAGTTGGAAAGAAATTGAAAGATTCAGACTTCCCGGTTCAATAAATGGTCATGAATTATTTGCATCTGTACGTTTTGAAATTGTGACTGTGATGTCATTATTAAATAACCCAGAATGTGATGATTGTTTTTCTTAAATTATATAACTCATCAAACACTCAGAAATGATCCGCCTCACGTAACTGAATGAAATGATGATAAATTATGTAAAAAGTGTTTTGTCTCTCCAGCTCTCTCTGACTTTAATTGTTTCCATTCACTCTGGTATGAAACTCCAGTCAGTCAGTCTAATCAGCTGCAGCGTACAATCACATGAATGATGAACAATGAGGGGGCGTGTCGGCCGTTAAAACACTTCCTGGAAGCCTGTTCTCCTGCGTCCTCCTCCTCGGAGATCTCTCCACGCTCCTCCGAGCTAAATAAGAGCTTTGGGACGGCTGTCAATATGGCGGGGCAGAACAACTTCCGGTTCAAGCGAGGATCGAGGAGCGAGGAAATGACAATTAAGAGACTTGGGATGTACCCTCTGTTGTTGAAGTGTCATGTTTCCCCCATGGGAGGGGCGGGGACGTGTTGCAAGCCAGAGTTCCCGGATGTGGGTCTGAAGCATTCAAAGGGCTGTCTTGTCTGCCTCTTTAAAAAAAAAAAAAAAGGCTGTTTAGAAGTCTGTGTGTTGACGCCCTCTCTTCTGACATTACTACAGTTCGCTAGGTAACTTTAGCTCTTGACTGTTAGGCACCCAGTTTGAAAATGGCGACAGACGAGCTCTCATCCAAGCTCAGCCGTCGGCTCCAGATTGAAGAAGGAGCCGAGGATCCTGTTGCTGTAGACGTCCTCGGACATCAGAATGGGTCGGAAGAGAAACCGAGTACGACCAACGCCAACGCAGACTCGGAGCTGGGTGCTAAACTGATGCGGCGAGGAGAGCTGAACGAAGGGCTGGGTGAGCAATGCCAGCCCAGCATGAAGGTCTTCAACCCGTACACCGAGTTCAAAGAGTTCTCCCGGAACCAGATAAAGGACATGGAAAGGATGTTCAAAACGTGAGTTTGTGACAATCTGCATGAATACTGATAACGTTACCCCAACAGGTTGAAGACCAACTGTTAAACATGCCTTCAGGCCAGTGGTTGCTTTTTTATTTCATGTAACAGGGAAGTAACTTTAAGATTGCTCATATGAGGAAGTTGAGTTGGCAGGTCACACGATGATTTCCCAATAACACAAAACTTGAATCTAAATTTAAGGATTAGTGAGGGAGAGTTAGTATTGTTATTGGGTATACAAAATATAGGCTGAAACCAGCCTTCTGGGATAAAAGATGGATAAGTGAACAAAAAAGATAAATTACTCAAGAAAGTAATCTGTCCTGTACAATGGACTTGTGCACTTGGGAGAAGTTTGCCTTCTTCCAGAAGGAGTTTATTGATCTTTTCCTAAACCTAACCAAGTAGGTTTAAAACTTAAGGAGATTTGTGTCTGAAAAGGCCCAAAGGCAAACTTCTCCATGTGCTGGGTTTCTGTAGCGTGAGTGATTGCTGGGTGGGGACAATATGCAAGTCAGTGATAAGGAAATCAGACAACAGGTGCTCATTGAATATAGAATATATCATAGTGTGCTCAGTCATCTACTTGATGTGTGGTTAATTCATATAGGTTGATGGATAAAATATGCAGCAAATTGAACCCAAGTTTATCAGATGATCAGTAACCCTCTTTCTTGATTCTAAAAGAAGTGTGATGAACACATTTAAAATGTATTCACTCATATTCACACTTGGAAGAATAAATAAATTAATACAATTATTAAAGCTGTATAAATCTGACCTTATACAGAACTCTATGACCTTAAACCTCAGTTAAACCAGGGGCCTGAGTTAATTTAATCTGGTGCTCTTTATGACGCCTGTCTTCATTGAGCTATCGTTAATTTTGTTATGAGCTAGCTCTGTTAATTCTGTGTTTTCTAATCCAGTTACATTCATGGCACGAATGTGGAGTTGTTTAATAATAAGCAACATCATCAGAACCATGAATGAAGCAACTGGCTCAGTGGTAGAGCGGGGCATCCTTCAATCAGCAGATCCCCGGTTACTCCAGTCGATGTGTCCTTGGGCCAGACACTTAACCCTAAATTGCTCCCGTATGCTGTGCCTGTGGTGTGTGAATGTCATATAGTCCTGATGGGCAGGTGGCACCTTGCATGGTAGCCCCTGCCATCAGTGTATGAATGGGTGAATGACATTTAGTGTAAAAGAGCTTTGAGTGGTCGAGTGATTAAGTACAAGTACAAGTCCATTAACTTAATATGTCAGGATATTAAATGGTAATACCCATATAGTTATACCCACAGCTAAAACTGAGAATATTCAACTATGTGAAATATAACCCTATATTGACAACTAGCATAGAATAAGAAACTGCAGGAACACAATAAAAAGACAATGTTTAAGTGCAGGGAGTATTATATATTGTGTATCTTTAGTATAGAGTGATTCTTTCTTTGCTTTTTTTCCTGATGATGAACTAACTATTATGAATATGTGATGCATATACAAAAAAGTTAAGAGTATGGTGAGCCTGTTTCTGCTGCTATGGACAAAGGAGGTCTATCTGACTCAAATGTTGCATTTACGTATCTGGGAACTAGGGTATAGTTTGTATTTCCAATTATCATCACAAAGTTTCCTCATGCTTTTGTGAATAAGAATGTAAAAGCATAACCACCCACTGTCTGTACTCGTGTTGGAAAATACAACACACTTTGCACAATGAAATAGCAGTGATGATTGTCATTATATAAGCACCAGTTAAGATAAGCTAGTCTAAAGCTTCTTTTACTTTGACTTCCAGGGGGAAGTGGCTGAGGCAGCTTTTTGAAGCATACAGTGTGTTACAGACTGCCATAAGGTGTTGATTCACTCTGGTCACTGTAGAAGCCATAGTTGCCTTTTTGTGGAGGGATTATTGGCTATCCACTGATGGCAGCCCCAGTTGATGGGAATGCTTGCAATGTGAGTGATTGACTAAATTGTAGTTCAATATTTCGGGTCAGATCAGTCTCAATGTGACTCTCAAATGTATTTTGTGATTTGTATATAAATCTTTCTGCGGAATCTTTTTTAATACACACACAATTAGTTGGCATTTACAAACAAAATCCACCTTTAAAAAAAAAACAAAAAAAAAAAACAACAAGATTCAGAAATATATTCGTGGCTGTAACCTTCCATCTAGTCGCAACATCTTTTGTGGATCTTTTCGGAATTATCTGTCCACGTTTGGTTGTTTCAACACTTAGCTACGGTGCATACTAAGCTAATGTTAGCAGTTGAACTAGTTTCCTCCTTTGGCTTTCCATCCAGTTCCCTACCTGAGTATGATGTAAGAGGGGAATCATGTGAATGGTTGAACATGGAGGAAACATCTGATCGTCTACAGTTAATTCCCTCTTGAAAAAAAAGGCTTTTGTGAATCAAGCGACGTCAGGAGAGTCTCATAAAACCCACACTAATGCAGTGAAGTTCACATGTGACAAGCAGTTTGTAAATGCATGTTCAACAGTTAAAAGTATAAAAATGTAAGAACATCCAAATATTTTTGGATGAATATTTCAAATCCTTTAAGTACATATGTTTGTGGATTTCTATGACAATTATCTAAAACAAGAAATATTAAAATAGAAAATATATAATGACAAATATTTTGTGGAGTCATTTATATATAAATCACAAAATATATTTGTGTATCCTCTGTGTGCATTCATTAATATTGACACTGGTTTGACCCCGAATAAATAGCAGGGATTTAGGGTGAGTAAGCATTTAACAAGACGTCTCGTAGCAGCAAGCTCTCAGTGTTGAAATGAGTGTTTATTACTACCTCTGCTGATCACCTCCTCTTATCATTGGTTCTAGGTTAAAGAGCTTTAGTATTAGTAAACAGGAAACTGCTGCTCAGATTGACTGAGGTGTGAATGTCTTCTGGCTGTTTCTGTGCCATACTCTGCCCAGATTCTTCAGGTTCCTGTCTTGTCCAGACCTGTCGAGGACTTTTAAATGCACTACTTACACATTCTCTTTGTACAGCCGTCTTCAAAGGGCCCCCCCCCCACAATCAGACATGTGCAGTTTGAGCATTTATCTTGTGAGTTAACATCATTCTAATGTGGCAAAGACCATTGTTCTCTATGTAATTGTTGCGTATGGCGGGGGAGGAAGTGTGCCCTTAATCAAACTGATCATTAACTCCCCGTTTTTACTGCAGAGCCAATTTATTATGAAAGTGTAATACCTTACAAATCCTACCCAGCCACATAATGATTGGATCGGCTTTTTAACTCGTGATTGCTGCCTTTCCAAAACTGTTTAGTTTACTGGTGGCAAACCTCAACTTCTGCTGCACCGAACTGTCTGAGATCCAGTGCTGTGGGTTTTTGGCAGGCAGTCGTTTCTTGCAAAAAAAAAGTCGTGATGTTTCATGATGATCAGTTTTATTCTAACAGGTACAGCAGGTGAAACAGATGCGTGTGCATTTTTACTTCCTGATCACACAAAACCTTAACTGTTGTCGATGATTTTATTTGGAATTTTCTTCTGATTTAATGTGAACTTCTTCTCAAAGCATTATTAGTTCCGTAATGGAAATGTGTGTCTTGACAGTGTCCCTAGTGTGTCAAAGTTGAATTTAGGACCCATTGCAAACATATGTTCATATTTGACATATTAAAGCTGGTGATGGGAGGATAACATTATGATGCGATGACGGTTGGAGTAGTAGAAACGGCAAGAACTTCAATCTACTTTGACCCTTTGGTTTATTGCCAAGTACGTTTTCACATACAAGGAATGTTTAAGTCATTCTTCATATTTTAAAAATACTTAAAAGTCCAACTGAAATCACTATTTAAAGTCCCATTTTTTTATTATTGAAAGGAAGACGCAAAGTCTTGGGGGCCGATCACAAGGAGATGCGTCGCAACAGGCGCGGCCGCTTCATAAAAGCCCCTAGGAAAAGCAAGTCAGGCAAAACAGCTGATGAGCCGGTGGAGCGGGGTGCGTGCGCAACCAGGCAATCGAATGTAAACAACGGGGGGGGAATTTATTCAATGCAGACATCAAGTTATTGCTTTTGCTCGTTTATTGAGGAGGGGAAAATTATATAGTTCATTGTAATTAACTATCGCTAATGTCAATGTCCTTTCTTACCACATTTGCCAGCATGAAAACAGGAAGTCAGTGGTAAAGTATTAAATCCCGCCTCTTGCTTGATTTGATTGGCTGCCTCAGTCAAGTGTGACATCAACGAGCGGTGCGATTCCGCGTCTGGTGCTGAAAAGTTGAGAATATTTTAACTTTTATGAGCATCTTAAAAGCTGCCTGAAAAACGTGGCACGAGAGAGGAGTGCACGTCAAGCCATGGGAAATCAATGGTTTTGCGGGTGATGCGTTCATAGCGTCGCGTCTCGTGTGATCAGCCCCTTAGCGATGAATCAGAGATTCTTCTATAGATTTCAAGTATTTGAATTATTGAAGAGAAAATCCAGTTCATATTCTGAATTGGGGATTTTGATTGTTAGCAATATTGTCGTAACCATCCACGATTTACCAGGAGCCTTGTGAATCGATTGTGAAATGAGTGCACAAGTCCGTTTGATATCAGCCTTGTTTTAAGAAAAACATGTTTTATATGTGATGTTATGAAGAAGTGACGAAACTACCCGCAATCCTAAAATGTAACATTTACATCTGATTGTTGGAGCTTGCTGTTACCATGGAAATGTTCACCACCCCATGCTTGGGGCTAGTGAGGGTATGTGCACACATGTGGTACTCCATGGTCTGCTTCTGGATTTCAAAACGGACCAACATGGCGGCTCGTTGGAAAATTTATCTTATATATATTATTGAATTGGACTTTCTTTATTTGATTTGACAGTCAGTTGTTGACTGCATACAGACGTTAAAACAACTGCTAGGCTACTTCAATATATATAGCACTAAATCATAGCGCAAGTATTCTTTTGATGTTCCGAATCTTTGCGTGAGGAAATTGTCTTTAACTGGACCTCGTTGAACATTAATTAAATACCCCTGGTTTACACCGAGTGGTTGAAAGTATTTTTGGGACGGTGGCATCGGTGTATGAATGGTGTGAATGTGTTCCATACATTCATGCACATATGGGCGGGTGGCACCTTGCATGGCAGCCCCTGCCATCAGTGTGTGACTGGGTGAATGATGACATGTAGTGTAAAAGTGCTTTGAGTGGTCGGAAGACTAGAAAGGTGCGATAAAAGTACAGTCCATTTACCATTTACATCCTGAATGGTCATGTCAGCTAGGGGTGGGAATCACCAGAGGTCCCGCGATACGATATTATCACGATACTTAGGTCACGATACGATAGTATCACGATACTGCGATATTATCACGATATTCTGAGTATTGCGATACCATAGGCCTATATTGCGATTTATTACTTTTTCAACTTCAAATTATGTCCCCAAAGGAAAACTGTGTCAACATGTTTTATCTAATAAGATAAAGTTTTCAGTCTGTTCATCTCACTTCAATCATTTTTATTGCAGCAAAATAGGATTGTCAAGCAGACAGACTGACCAACAATATCATAAATGTTGCATGAACCTGACTCAACTGTTTGTATTACTATATAGTCCAACTTAACTAAATGCAAACGTGTGGACTCAGTATATGAACTATAACTTATATAAGTAGGATATAATAGTTATATAACTCAGTATAACTTGTAATGCGTGGACGTCAAGGGCAGAGAGCCAGTTATGCGCTGCGCTCTCCCCATGAGCCTGGCAGATTTAACCCCGCTGTGAGGCCAGGTGTCTCTCTTTGTTTTGACCAACTTCCTACCAATCACGCTGACCTCACCAGAAAACAACTCAGCACCATCTAGTGGACTGAAAAAGCAATTGATTTGATTTTTCTAAAAAAAAAAATAAAAAAAATAATTTATTTATTTATTTTTTATAGTTTATATAATAAAAATCGATACTTGGAGTCCGTGTATCGATACAATATCGCCACACAAAATATCGCGATACTATGCTGTATCGATTTTTCCCCCACCCCTAAGTCAGGCTTCACCAGCAGCCATTACTGGTCATGCCAAGGTAGTCAAGCCGCCTGTGTAATTTGT